ATGGCAATTCATAAAACGTCATGTCTCTGCATTAACCAATGTGGCTTGTAAAGCTAACACTACGGCTCAAAGTCACTGCCAAATTTTATGAAACCTTTGTGGTCTTCTCTTAATACCGTAGAGAAATGTATGGTTTTACGTACGCGGAAAATATGCGGTTCATAATTTGGAAGCACCGAATTTATGTGTAACGGCAGAACGGGTTCAAAATTATTCAGGAAATGGAAAAGGTTTTGAAAAGCGGATTATAATCTTCTTTTGAGTATACAATTTGGAGCAGGAGAAAGTGTCTGCTGAACGAGCAAAAAAATGAGTATTTTTATACATGAGTTCTATTAAATATTGTTTAACTTTTAGAGGCATCGAAAATCAATGTGTAAAATGCATGCTAATTATGTAGTCGTTTTTTGCATAGTGTACTTTTTCATGCGGCAGTAATGATGTTTGTTCGAAAGCCGGCATTTTGGGGTAAGAAAATTATTATAGAATTTTGCTACAGAATGATTAGTTTTACTACCCTACTTAACTAATCTTTTCTGAACTCAAACGAATTGCGTAATTTCGGCGGACATTTCCTGAGTTAGCTTACCTACTGCTTGTAAACATAGACCCTTCGTTGATAGATCAAACTATCCTTTCTCCTTCTTACGCTAGTCGACATTCAGAGCTTGTCAACTAGCACAGATGTTGACAATGTCAGACGCTGTGTGACTTGCAAACACGCGCATTTACGACAGTGGTTAGAGGCTTACGCAGACTAAGCGCAGCTGAAGAAAAGTGCATTGCGAGCCCCGTCTAATCCAGTTTGAGTCAAATGTGTTTACAGCGCAGCATGTTATAGGACCACAGCCTACCTTCTCAGCGACGTTAAAATTAAGGATCCTTATCATTCATATTAACCCAAGTGCGAAAACCTCGGTGAGATTCGAACCCATGCAGGTTGACTGTTTAACAGGATTTCCTAGGCAATTCACCTAGAATCGCGTCGTCCGGCGGGGCCTCTTAGATCAAGCAGTCAGAGCGTTGGCTGTACTAAAGCCTTCCCCTTACCGCGTGGGCCCGAATCCCACCGAGGCGCCGAGTTTTTCACAACTGGTCAATACGAATTACTGAAAATCTGCCAAAACATCTATGAATTTGGTAAGCCTGATAGTCATCTGGTGGATTATAGGTGAGTTACTTAGGAAATCCTACTTGGGCAGTAAACTTACTGTATCAAGTGTGGTGGATTCCAGACATTGCAATAGGTTAAGCGGGTAACTTGACCTAAATGTGATCAAACTCGCGTCGTTCTGCGGGTTCTCGTATCTCAAGTGGTTAGAGCGTTGGATGTACCAAAGCCTTCCCCTTACCGCGTGGGTTCGAATCCCGCCGAGACGCCCAGTTTCTCGCGCTTGGGTCAATATGAATTATTCAAAATCTGCAAAAACATGTTTAGCCATTTTAAAAAGTATTTGTTATCAAGACAGTATTATTTAGGTCATTTTATCGCATTCGTATTCACGTTCTCATTTACCAGTATTTATTCTGCGCCCGTTGTAAAGATTCCATATTGAAGACTGAAATACAAATACAATACAATACAAAAGGTGAATTATCAAAATTAAAATCTAGTTACTAAATTTGAAATTCACGTACAACATTTGAACTCGTCTTACAGAGCTCAGCCTGAATTTGCAACTTTTAATGCATTAACACCGTTAATACGAGAATAAAATGGATGTGACGCATCATACCAAGGTATTGGAATTTTGATTTTCATATAAACGTAGGCAGGAAGAGGTTGCGTGATGTTGCGAACAATGACTGACTGAACCCTCATTCTGCGCAGCAAGTTATCACAGACTGGATTTTGGTTCGCAGTTTTAGATACATGGACATCGAACATTAAACCCTAACAAAACTCGTCAATTATTGCAAAACTGCAATGATTTTGTTCATATTTTGGTAAAAACTGCCAGCCACGCTGCAATTAAGCACGGAACAATGGATGCACAGGGTTTAGCTTTGATTAGCCGAAAATCACATCTGGCCGTTCAAAGGAAAACATACTAGTGTCTATCACTGCCACTTTTAGGATAATCTGCATGAAGTTTCACTTTCGTGCAGTAACTCATCACTGTAGGAAGGTTGAAGCCGAGTCACTGCGGCATTTGTATGGTGGATCGTCAGTTTTCATCCGCATCTGATTGGCCGGTAGTTGCGTGTCTCATTTGCCAATGGGAATAATTCCTTATTTTTGAATGGATGTTTGCTACATAAATATATAAATACCTTCTCACACCTTTACCTTCATGATGGAGAATTAAATAGATGAAAGCTTGACCGCTGACGATATGTGAGCTTTTTTAACCATCATCTTGCATAAGATCTTGATTATCTTTGTACGATCATTTTTTTTACCTGTTTGTTGACACAGAGCGGACAACACCGCAGTTTATAGAGTTGATCTCCAAGGAATGTGTTTGCATTTTTCACAAACAAATGTTTCCTATAAAACAGATTTCCACTTTGTAATTCTATGCTATAGTGTGCACATGAACAGCATTCTAAGCTGTATCCCACTTAATTTAGATTTCATTAACAGCCTTTAGGCAGCCTCATGGAGTATGCTGATTAACCAGCTTGCCTTGGCTTTAGAAAGACGGCAGCATTACACACTTCTAGAGGGTAGCTTACTTGGGCAAAATCGCAGTTCGTAAATATAAGATTAAATTCAACCCTGGAAATGAACGTCATCCTCAAATACGGAAGACAAATGTCCATAAAAAAGAACACAATTAGTGTATTGGCGACAGTAAGAAAAAATAACGTCCGCGTAAAGTGGCCAGTACCTATCAGGTTTTGTTTGCATTCAAGCTTGCTCGGGGCCTTATGTTTGAAAATTTGAATGATTATTTCGATGGTCCACCTTTTCTATAGTGTATTGCGTATTTTTACCTTATCAAACAATAAAAACCTAGTTCATTTGAGTAGCAAAGTGACATAAAATCCTTAACGACATAAAAGGTCTCACGTAGGCAAACTGTGAAAGGATTTTTCACCAATATGCATATTGTTAACTCGACTTTTATGACGCCTACCAATGTATGGCAGTTATGCAAGTGTGGGATTATACATAATACAGAAATATGTTTGACATTTACTTATGAACCCTGATTGCATGAAACTGTATTACCATCTTCAGCTTGACTCGGAACTCAATTCGAATGCCCTAGCGATACAATCGCACGTCATCGAAGACGTTTCAATGGCCACTTTTGGCTTATTCCTCAGAATCATTAGATCATAAGTAAATCCGGATCCGAAGCAATCCGGGGAGATAAACCAACCGTTCGGCCAAATCAGATATATCCAACTACTAGGTATAGGCCTACATCCATTCAAATGGGTTTGGGAAATTTGGAGGACCGTCATTTGGTCAAAAAAAATTTTAAAAAATTATTTACGAACAAGCCTCTAACGCACTACATGTTTAAACCGATTCTGAATTGTCACTGTCGTCCTTACTTATTTTCAATCAGACATACACGAAGCTACTCGTCGATGCAAAGTAGCGTTTTTCTAATATACGTAAAATGCAAGTAGTGGTATAAATATGCCGGAAGGTTATTGCTAGTGAACGTCAAATTTTTGGAATTTGCAAATTTTTGAAACAGAGATCGATGAATAGGTATCATAAGCATTATGTGTATGTTGAGAAACTCCGAAACATATAGGATTCGAGCAACCGCTCTATTGGGCTAAGATGTGACCGATGATCACATTTCAGAGGGCTAAAGATAGTGAATTCCGGCATTTTGATTGATGTACCGATGTACTTTCATCTTTATCGGTGTGCTCAAAACAGGCTTCGGCCATGGCTAATGCATGGTCTGGGAAAAGCCCATATCTGAGACTCGGAGTTGACGCGATATCACAGTCCTTGTTTTTCATTCTCACTCCAACGCCAACTTGCAGCAGAATTTAGTAAATTCTTCTGTTATATCAGCAGCCATTTAGGCAATAAAACGTTGTCAAAATACATGGGTATACACGTATTTGTAGTGCCTCTCGTGGCGTATGTTTCTGCCGACTTTGCGTGCAGTTTCGCATAACTGCGCGCGATTACAGGTATAGACATCGTGACTTGTGGAAGCGTCCGACGTCTCATTGATTCCGTATACTCGAAAACCAAAGAATACCTAGGCCAGTTGTATCTTAAAACATTGGGCTTTCTTCTGCATCGTCAACAACTGTTTGACTCGTGCGTTACGACAGGCAAACTACATTAATTTATCAGATGTACCCGAGCTTAAACACGCATATTCGCAATGAAGATCGGAAGAAAGATTCTGTGCAACCGAAAACCCGAAAATGGGTCGGCATTTATTAAATTTCGCGTTTTAGAACACCCATTCTGTAAAGTTTCCTATCGGCCTATTGTATGGTTGCAGGACATATTGCTGTCTTCTGCAAATGTAAATAATTATAGCGACTCATTTTTGAAAACCTTTTGGCCGAAATAGGATTCGTACCCATGACAGAAAGAGCAAGACTTGAGTACAGTCATCACGCTGACATTCTGCGTTAAGAGGTTCCAACCGGGAGCATTCTTCAGTTTACTGTGTAATAATTGAAGCCAACCGAAATGTGAATAAAGTTGGGGCTTTTTGAAGACTACTAGCTGAAATCACTAGAGAACTGGTCCCATGCAATTCTTTTGACATCTTTTATGGTCATTAATTCCGACCAGGACGTCGGACCTTTAAACAACTAAAGGGTGCGAACAAACAGTTAACTTCCTATTTAGTGGCCGCAGCCGTGATGACAAAGCCGTAATACGTACTCACACAGTTAATGAATATTCACTAACATTTACGCATTTACTTCAATGAATGTGGTCGTAAGAAAAGACTGGAGTTCAGCAAAATCTAAGCTACATTTCCTGCTTCTTTTTCATTATCTGCCAAGTTTTGAGTTTAAGATGTTCTGCCTTACGAAGTATGTTGTGTTTTAGAATGAATAACTCAAGCAACCAAGCGAGCTACCTGCTCTTTGATATCACCTACGGAAATTGTCAAAATGAAACCCTGCCAATGAACCCTTACAAGGCCATCTACGATGTTTACACATACATCACCCTGATCCTCTCTCCCCTTAACGTCATTCTAAATGGATTCTCTCTGAGGATTTTTACGCATCGAGTTTGGCGGAACAGCACAATGAGTTGCATTCTCAAGAGCTTGTCCATTTTCGAAACCTGCTTCGGGCTCTGTCTGTTATTGCATACTCTATCGCACGGCCTGCTTGAAAGCTACGTTTCGGGCTACGGCGGCAAGGAATGGCTGGAGACCGTTTTCAGCATTTCCACACAACGACGGGTTGGCGTTTTGTTACTGGCCTTTCATCCCCTCCTCAGTGGTACCCTATTTGCTTTCCAAATTGCCCGCAACTGGTCTGTCGTGCTGCTGGCAGCCTACCGTTACGATTCTGTTTGTCGCAGCATTGGTCGCGTGTCCGCCTTTTCCCGAGTCTCCATCCGCGTTATAATGAGCAGTGTTCTGGTGGCGGCCTTCCTGATTGCTCTGCCCCGAGTCTTTGAAACACGCACCTTCTTCTGTTACCCGAACGCTCAAATCTACCATGAGGACTACCTTCTGGCGGCCAGTCCAGTGTATCAGATGGTCTTTATCGGTATAATCACATTCGTTGTGCAGTCCGGTGGTCCGGTAATTTGCGTCTGCGTGTTGAGTTTTTTTGTGGTACGACAGATTTCACTGCGACGTCAATACCGTCGACAAAACCAGTCAGCACTGTACAGACAGGTTTCCCTCACTCTGAAGAAAACCTCGGATGAAGCGAAAGCGAGTCGTTGTATGCCGGCAAGGCCGGTGGAACGATCCCAGCCCTCCGGCGATAAACTCATTCTTGCCCTCTGTTTTACCTTCTTTGTACTGGAGACGCCGGCTTTTTTCTCGAAGATTCTCAATGCCTATTTAAAACAAAACTTCCCTCTGCATGATGTCTACCTCTCCGTCATTGCAAATCTGCTCATCTACCTGGACTCCACCTTCAACGTCTTCGTCTACATGGCCTCGAATCCGACCTTCCGTCAGGTGACACGCCAGGTAATTGGCGGAAATCGTGTCTGTTCCCTTCTCAACCTAAAGTCGATGCCAGCCAAAATAACGAGTACAGCTTCTAATACCAGGAACTCTCTAGAGGTCAGCCGCCCCGACCCGCGAGCCAGGAATAATCCGACCGAACTCACAACGGTAGACTCTGTTCTGCACTTACCAGCTGATGTCAGCACCAAATAAAGGCACAAGTGGAGAAACTATTGTACATTACTGATTATGTCTGAAAAAATCAAGAGCTTCTATTTTAAGATACTTCAGATAAAGGTCATTTACTTTCGAAAAATGCCTTGTTTCTCCGTTTTGAGTGAATTCCTTGAAGGGGCAAACGTCGAAGTGTCGTAAGCGATCAGAGTCAACATCTTAAGCATTATAACGGTAAAGTCTATTCAACGTGTTATTAGTTTTCGTCCTACTCAAGTCTAGATTTTACAGCAAGATACTGTAGAATTTTAATTCAGCCATTTGATTGTTTTCCTCAGTAAACTGTAATGCTTTGAAATACAAATACGGCTTAGCGATTTAACCCTTTCTCCACGAAATTTCTAAGATGTTAACCAAAGTGGGAGAAGCAAGCGTTGTTTGCGGATAAGCCAGAAACTGCCGACAGAGAAACTGGATAAAATACGGATCAAGAGAGTAAAATAGCCGTAATGACATTTTATATCTTTAAATGAAGCAGGCGTCCAAAATTAGTAACTGCGAAGGCCACTACGCCTTGGAAAGCCTAATGTTGACTTCGATTGAACAGATTCGATAGACTATTGATATTCTAGATAAAAAATTCAATCACAGTCTGTTGTTTTAATCTGCCGAGGTCTTTGACAGATTGCCGCCTATTTTGGAAAAAATGTCATAATCCTCCAATACAATGTAAAGGATAGGGCAATAAGTGAAATAATCCTATTCACGACGACGCTCGTGTCGTTAATTGCTGCAATTTCATCACGTGCGTTGGATGTTGGTGTGATGATTGCTCCACCATCTGACGCATCGATCTTGGTGTTGGGAGAAGTGTTCACCTGTGCGTTCTCCGCATGGCCAATTACTCCGCCTAGACGAAGTCTCAGTACAAAGTATGGAAGGGGAAGTTCATTGCACTTGTTAATGGACTAGGGGCCAGTAAACCATGATTCAAGTAGCTCCCGGCTCACGCGGCTGTCACCTCTTGCGAGAATTTCGGCCTCGTCGAATTTGAATGTGTGGCCGCATCTGGGCGAAGGAGCCGCAACTTGAGAGCTGGCGTCATTTCTCCGTACCGCCGCAGCGTGTTAAGCCATTCTCGTTCGGAGCTGTCTTCCGGTTTTCTCCAACGTAGTTGCTTTGTCGGCAACTACACTAGATTCGATAAACGACTCCAGACATTTCTAGCCGTGTCTGCGGGTCTTTCGGTTTCATTACCAGACGCCTGATGGTTGCCTCCGGTCTCTGTGCAACTCCAACCCCAAGTGGTGCGAGGAGGCGGCCGACAGCTTCCGAAACGTTCTTGACATACGGAAGCCCCCGCCAAGATTTGGTCTTGCCAACTCTACGAATTTACATCGGGCAACCTAAATTACGAGGTTAATGTAATAATGCAGAAGACTGGACTAAATGCAGCAAGCAAACCACTCGTTTAAAACGAAACGATCTCTACCAGATGAAAACAAAAAGGTCACACATGAATGGCCATTGAAAGCAATTTCATAAGAAAATAAATAGTGCTGGAAGCGCGAACCTTTCTGGCAGGTGACTGGACCAGATCTGTTGGGGTCCTGCAATTTTTTTATTTTAAAGAACTAGTAGAAAAATAAACTTAAGCCCGCCAAGCTTGAAGCCACTAGTACTAGGAATTTTTCTAACTCCATTCCCTAAAAGATCTCATACCGTTCCTGTCCGTCTTTTTGCTTGGACGCGCCAGTATTCGAGTTCTCCCGTTGTCGACTTTACGGCCCTTTTCCAGGCTGGGGCCCTGCTCTCTGGTCTATACAGTGACAAGCACAAATATCATGAGTTAGCACAGGAAGTGATTTGAGATATTTCCGTGTGAACGATTTAGTAGGTGTTTCAACTTACGTCCGCCAAGCTTGGTGCAAATTATACCAAATATTCCGCTGACCCAATTTCGAAGAGGATTAATGTAGTCCTCACTAGCCTTTACGCTTAATATCTCTAGTATCCACGGGCTCCTAGAATAAAATGTACAGTCCTTCGCCAGGGTGGAGGTCGAATCTCGAACGGCCATTTTGGGCTTGCATCTTCGTGAGGTGAGTCTCCCTGCGCTCCGGCCAACAGCATGATATGGACAGATTGCAACATGCTGCCTTATAAGCTACAGCTGACCGTTTACTTTGCGTTAAGTGGCTGCTAGCTGATACGCAGTACCCAGGCTCGGACACGCTTTTATTTACGGCATGATTTGCCCCAGGTGTTGGTGACCCCCATTCTTACCGTTATGATCGCGTACGCGGGCGGCGGCTGATGCAGTTTTTGGGCAGCCCCATTTTCGTAGTTGGTTCAAAGGAATGCTTTGGCTTTTAACTCGTCTCTCCGGTTCAATGCAGTGCCTTTTTGCGCTTCAGAATAACCCCCTATCATCAGCATTTGTATACCACCAGATGCGTGTTATGATAGATGATGACACCCACGGCTGTGCTCCGATAGCCAGGCTTTTCTGTTTCTTTAGTTGCCTTTCGATACCAAATAGTGCTAATATAACCACTAAGTCAGCATATGACGCAGATGCCTGGTAATGGCCGCCCTTTAGCCTTCTCATCTCCTCTGAGGAAATGCATTTTGCGGCAGATGCTTTTAAATCATTCTTGAAAGTCTGATCGCTCAAAAAGTTCTCGGTCTAAGGCTGTAAACCTGACGGTCATTGGACTTTTGCCCCGCCGATCTCACTTGCCAGCCCTGCTGAAGAGCAACAACCAGTCGGTTTTCACGTAAAGCCTAGCTTGAAAACAACTGAAACATTCGTGTCAGGTTTGTCAAACAACGCTTTGGAAGCCTGGAAAAGCTCAAAAGTTTTGGATCCATGGGCAGTTTGCCCACTTCTTCTCCCGATGGATTATATGCGCAGAGATTAGAGGTTGTATTCGCGATTCAGGGTTCACAGTCCAAACAGAAGACAATTGGGATTCTTGGCATAATGATATTTTAAGTGTGCGCGAAGCTATACTTGTGCGGTTTAAAATTTTTGTGCGTTGAAACACTGAGCGATGGTTTGGCGGAGCATCTCGTCCTGGCATAGCTTAAAAGGCTTCGATGATTGCTCTTTTGTGTAGTGTACTCAAAAAACGAGTCCACGGAGGCAGTTGGGAAGTTGGCAGTGCGATCCGCTGGATAATGATGTCATTTGCCCGAAATATCGGATTATCATTCGCGAGTGGTTGAAAATGCAGCCGCAGTGGTGAGGAATGGCCTCAACTATTAATTGGTCTCTAATTCGGCGAGACCCAAGCATATATTTATGCGAGGCTAAAATAGCGCGTCACAAATGGCTTAACTCACGGTTCACGCGGACCCAGGTTTACGAAAAAGCTCATTGACCCCTTTCTCGACATTTGGCATGTGAAAAGCAACTTCCCACACAGGGGCCCTGCGACCGCCCACGATTTCTAGCGGCAGTCTCGTCGACCAAAATAGTTGCGTGATGGCCCTAACTCCAATCAACAACGGTGGTGCAATTCAGACAATTGACAACTCGGACGTGGGCGACTAGGCACCACAATACATAGGTCTCACTAATTATGATAGACATATGGCACTTGGCAACTACACTTGGTGTCGTAACTCAAGAAATGATAGCGAAAATTCTGAAATGCGCTTTTGACTCGAAAAGATTACCTTAGTGGCGTTGTTATACTGATAATCATGCAGCGTAATCCTATAAACTTCGGCCTCTGCATGAAGCCGGCTTTTTAATGAAATTTTTTGTGGCCGACTGTAGGAACTGCTCACTTAAGCAGTGTGTATTTTTCTCATAAATTTTTGATACAAATACAAAATCAAGTATTTCCCATAGATGGCATGCATACGAAATTCATCTCTTTACTCATTTGGTGAAAACTAGTGCCTTCTTCAAATTTCATACTTGGAGGAGTATAATTCAGTTTTGAAATATCTTTCTTATTCATATTTACCCAACTGTGAAAAACTCGGCCTCTCGTTGGGTTTCTAACCCACGACAGAAAGATAAGGGCTTTATTGCAGCCAATGATCTAAACATCTGAGCAACGAAGCCCCGCCGGACGACGCCGGACGACCGTTGTAATTCCCTAGTGATTGTGACCCCAACATATCGTTACCGTTGCATTCAGGGTCTAAGACCTACAAGTTGTATATTTTCATTGTACGAAAAACCATACCGTATGATATTAGGAAGAGACCAGATGCAGTTTATAAGATTTAGCAGTTGATCTAAGCCCTACTGCAAGTTTCACGTGTAGCCTTGGTAAATGCTGAAAATGGGTTTTATGAACGGGCATTTCAAGGTCTTAAAAAATCTCATAATTTGAAAACATATTTAGACAAAATTGTACTCTTCCTCGAAGTATAAAATTAGGCGAAGACGTTGATCTCAACCAAATGAATAAAGTGATGAGTTCTTATGCATGCTTTGTATGAGATATATTTAAATTTTGAGCTACGGGGCCCCGCCGAGTGACGCGAGTTGAATCACATTTGGGTCAAGTTTACCCCCCCCCCCCCCAACCTTCTGCAACCTCTGGAATCCACCAAATATGATACAGTAAGTTGACTGCCCAAGCCAGATTTCCTAAGAAATGCACCTAGAATCCACTAAATGATCACCAGACTCACGTAATTCATAGGTATTTAGGCAGATTTTGAATTAAATGCCATTAAACTCGAGTCGTTCGACGGAGCCTTATAGCTCAAATATTTAAATTTGTAACGGTATCTAAAATCAATGAGAAAACTGTACACTACTTAAGTAATCGACAGGCGGTCAGAAAGAATTTCACTCAAAAGCCGGCTTCCTGAAATAACTTAGTTATCATAGGATTCTGCTGCATGATGTTTAGTATAAAAAACCTGCTTAAGTAATATTTTTAAGTCTACAACGCATTTTGGAATTTTGGTTGACATTTCATGAGTTAGCACACCTGCTGTGCGTCTCCTGTGCGCCCATCCCACTTCTGTTGTGTCAGGTTAAAATGGGAATTCAAAACTTCTAGTGA